AAGCTTCGATATGGAATTTCACAACAAAGATGACAAAACCTCTAATTCTGTACTGGTCATTGTAATATTACCTTTATGTGAGTGACTACAACAGACTACTGCACTTCAAAACATAAACTCCTGATTCAGTTTTACCATTGACTTGTGAGGTTTTGATATATTTAAAATATTTTTTTCTAGTAGTTTATATTTCAACTGATATTACTTTAAAGTTATGTTTAAATCATAGAATCCTAGAATCATAGAATGGTTTGGGTTGGAAGAAATCTTAAAGATCATCTAGTTCCAACCTGCCTGCCATGAGCAGGGACACCTCTCACTAGATCAGGTCACTCAAAGCCTCATCCAAACTGGCATTAAACACTTCCAGGGAGGGGGCAGCCACAACTTCCTGGGGCAACCTGTTCCAGTGTCTGACCACCCTTACAGTGAAGAATTTCTTCCTAATATCTAATCTAAACCTGCCCTCTTCCAGTTTAAATCCATTTCCCCTAGTTCTATAACTACCTGCCTTTGTAAAAAGTCCCACCCCAGCATCCTTGTAGGCCCCCTTCAGGTACTGGGAGGCCGCTATAAGATCTCCCCGGAGCCTTCTCTTTTCCAGGCTGAACAGACCCAACTCTCTCAGCCTGTCTTCATAGGAGAAAAGCCTTTGGATTGTCCTTGTGGCCCTTCTCTGGACTTGTTCTAACTGGTCCATGTCTCTCTTGTGTTGGGGGCTCCAGAACTGGACACATTATTCCAGGTGGAGCCTTATGAGAGCGGAGTAGAGGGGGAGAATCACCTCCCTCGGCCTGCTGGCCACACTTCTCTTGATGCAGCCCAGGATACAGTTATTGGCCTTCTGGGCTGCAAGTGCATGTTGCCGGCTCATGTTCAGCTTCTCGTCTACCACCACTCCCAAGTCCTTCTCTTCAGAGCTGGTCTTAAGCAACTCATCACCCAGCCTGTATTTATGTTTGGGATTGACCCGACCCTCCTTGCATTTGGCCTTGTTGAACTTCATGAGGTTAGCACAGACCCACCTCTCAAGCCTGTTGAGGTCCCTCTGGATGGCATCCCGTCCCTCCAGGGTGTCAACCGCACCACTCAGCTTGATGTCGCTGGCAAACTTGCTGAGGGTGCACTCAATCCCACTGTCCATGCCACTGACAAAGATGTTGAAGAGCACTGGTCCCAATACCGACCCCATACAAGGATGAATGGATTGAGAGCAGCCCTGCAGAGACAGACTTGGGAATACTGATGGATGAAAAATGGATATGAGCTGGCATTGTGTGCTTGCAGCCCAGAAAGCCAATCGTGTCTTGAGCTGCACAAAAAAAAAAAAGCATGGCCAGCAGATTGAGGAAGGTAATTCTCCCCCTCTACTCTGCTCTCCTGAGACCCCACCTGGAGTACTGTGTCCAGCTCTGTGATTCCCAGCAAAAGACAGACATGAATCTGTTAGAGCAGGTTTAGAGGCGGGCTGCAAACAGGGTCAGAGGGCTAAAACAGCTCTCCTACAAAGAAAGGCTGAGAGAGTTGGGGTTGTTCAGCCTGGAGAAGAGAATGTTCTGGGGAGACTTTCCTGCAGCCTTTCAGTATATAAAAGCAGCTTATAAGAAAGATGGAGAGGTATTTTTTACAAGGATCTGTATGACAGGGCAAGGAGTAATCATTTTAACCTGAAAGAGGATAGATTTATATTAGACATAAGGAAAAAATAGGGGGCTTTTTAGTGATGAAAGTGGTGAGACACTGGAACAGGTTGCTTGGAGAAATTATGAACACCCCATCACTGGTACTGTTCAAGGTCAGGTTATACGAGACTTTGAGCAATCTGATCTAGTGAAAGATGTGCCTGCCCATGGCATGGGGATTGGAACTAGATGACCTTTTAAGTCCCCTTCCAACTCATGAAATCATAGAATGGCTAGTTTTGGAAGGGACCTTTAAAGGTCATCTAGTCCAACACCTCTGCAGCAAGCAAGGACATCTTCAACTAGATCAGATTGCTCAGAGCCCTCTCCAGTCTGAGCTTGAAAGTTTCCAAGGATGGGGGTTCTACCACCTCTCTGGGCAACCTGTTCCAGTGTTTCACCACCCTCAGTGTAAAAAATTTCTTCCTTACATCTGGTGTGAATCTACCCTCTTTTAGTTTAAAGCCACTACCCCTTGTCCTATTACAACAGGCCCTTCTAAAATGTTCGTCCTCACCTTTCTTATAGGCCTTCTTTCAGTATTGCCACAATTAATGTCTCCCAGAGCCTTCTCTTCTCCTGACTGAACAACTCCAACTCTCCCAACCTTTCCTCAGAAGAGAGGTGTTCCATTCCTCTGATCATTATTGTGGCCCTCCTCCAGACCCACTCCAACAGGCCCATGTCTTTCTTGTACTGAGTGCTCCAGAGCTGGACACAGCACTCCAGGTGGGGTGTCACCAGAGCAGAGTAGAGGGGCAGAATCACCTCCTTTGACCTGCTGGCCATGGTTCTTTTGATACAGCCCAGGATACAGTTGGCTTTCTGAGCTGCAAGTGCACATTGCCAACTCATGACCAACTCTTTATCAACCAGCACACACAAATCTTTCTCAGCAGGGCTGCTCTCAATGCCTTCATCCCCCAGCCCATATTGACACTGGGAGTTGCCCTGACCCAACTGCAGGACCTTGCACTTGGCCTTGTTGAATCTCATGAGGTTCACACAGGCTCACTTCTCAAACTTGTCCAAGGTCCCTCTGGATAGCATTTTGTCCCTCAGGTGTGTCATCCACACCACTCAGCTTGGTGTCATCTGCAATCTTGTTGAGGGTTTACCCTATCCTACTTTCTATGTCATGGACGAAAACATCAAATAGTACTGGTCCCAATACGGACCCCTGAGGGACACCACTCATCACTGGTCTCCTTTCGGGCATTGAGCCATTGACCCCTACCCTCCAGATGTGATTATCCAACTAATTCCTCATCCAACTCAAACCATTTTGTGATTCTATGATCCTTCACATTAGCCTTTTCAATTAATTACAGTTGAAATATCACTTTAAAATATCTCTGCATTTATCACCTTGCATATATACTTTCCTAAATAATTATAGGTCAGAAATAATCTTAATTCTGCTTCTTTCTTGTGAAATTGAACTGAAGATTTTTTTCTAGCTGAGATTATACATAGGAGAAGTTATATTTGAAACTGATTTGTGTGTGTGTAGGTGTGTGTTTATGCACAATGTGTGACAGAAAGAGCTAAACTCTAAGTCTTACTCAGAATAGAGTAGAAAACAAATTTCATACACTTTTTTTCTTTTTTTTAAATTTACATTATATGAAAGTAGACAGAGATCAGACATAAACTGGTGGATACTTATTGCCTCCCACCCAGTGGCATGATGGACTATTTCAGATAGTATTTTGCTTGTCACTAGGAGGTTCTTTGGGAAAACAACACTATTTTCTACCATCATAGTCAGGGCATTTCTATGTCTATTAGAGTGGCAGAAAAATTGATTTACCAAAACTGTTACATTATTCCCAAAACTATGGGAAAAAAAAAAAAAAGTGGTAGATATATGGAACCTGATGTGGCACCTCAGGTACATAGTAATAAAATTCCTCTAAACTAAACCACATACAGCTCAATGTGAAGAAAACACTTCTGAACTTCTGGTTTAGGATATTTATTATATAAAATCTGTAAAGAGTTCCTATAATCCCAGAGGAGCAAGATAAACTAATATATCATCTGTACTAAATTGAGATGAAAACTCAATTTCTTCTATGTCACATCTCACATTTTTCTGAATTTATTTCTACAAAAAGCTGCTGTTAAAACTTCAGCTTACTTAAAGATATTTTTAAAGAATGGGAAACCATCACTCCTTTGCAGGCAGTTTATTGGCTAAATGTTTTAAGATGGACACAGTTTATTTCCCAGATCTTGTTTTGGAACACGGTTCATATTTTTTCTTAAAAATTGCTTTTATTCAAAATAAACAGAATTGCTTTCAATAATGTTGATAACTTGTGTGCCATATGAAATAATGAGCATTTAAGATCTATAAACTTTGATATAATCTTTTCCAGTAATCCATATTTTGGTAAAGGTATTTATTCTACACTTAGCCCAAGACCACTTGTGGAAGGGTCAAAATATTCAGTCTAACTACAGAATAGTGAAAAGGTCAGTGTAACCTTACTTACTGTGTATCTATCACAAACCATACAAGCTCTGTTTTCACAGCTGCAACAAAAAGTGCTATTAGAGAAATAATGCACAAATCGACCTTTACCTGAAATGAGTATGTAGCAATATAAACTTTAAATTACTTTAGAGGAAAAAGAACTTTTTACCAGCACTACATCTTTCTCTCTTATTGAGTTTTCCCAACATGATGAATATGAAAATAATAAATTCTTGAGAAATTTAATTCAGGTCATTTTATTTTTAAAAAATTGACAAAATGGTCATTGTAGATAAGTAAATTCTGGTTTGATCATTACTACAGTGATACAGACAGCTTTTGATGAATCATCACTAGACAAATTATTTTGTCATAGCTTAACTTGTTTTTAAAAATAAGTGCAACAAAGTTTTTGCTTACATTACCTTGTCCCCAACTGTGTACATCAAAATATAATCACAGAAAGTTTTTCGAATATGGTACATGATTAATAGCATTCTATGGTCTTTGTGAATTGTTTGATAGTGATTTGTTTTTTCCTGAGAGTAAAAAAAAAAAAAAAAAAAAAAAAAAAAGGTGTTTCATAATACTTGATTGCAAAATGAGAGAGAGAAGAGTGAAATTATTTTTAATAGAATCCACTTGATCATTTTTCAGGAAGTATTTACCCATGATTATATTTCAAGAAGACTGAAGTTTCTACCTTGATTGTGACTCAGTGTCTAATTAAATCCAAGACAACAATGTCTTTCAATAAGATTAGTGTTATCTTTTTTTTATCTGCTGTGTTGACATTTTGATCTATGTTTTAGAAAACCCTGTAGTTTTCTACTTACCTAAAATCTTGCCAAGTGTGAGAGACTTGATTGCATTGAATTCTCTGCCTGAAGACAGAATAAACTTCATTCTTTCATTCTGGTTAACCTGTAGAATGGTGCAGTGAAAAATAAAGTAGAGTAATTGAAGAGACATTAGTTAAAGTTAAAAAAAAAAAAAAAGGTTAAAAATAAAAGGAGCTGAGAAAAGCATTTGTTAGTTATAGCATAAAAACCAATCAAGAAATAGATGACTGGCTTTCTCAGATCACTGTAGCTGTGATACTTCTTAAGCTTCCTACTTAATAAACTTTTATTTATATTATTGATTTGACTGATTCCTCATTTTCCGCTATAAGATAAATACAAATGGTAAACATTCAAAAACATGAAAAAGACTTTTTTCTTGAAAAGGAACTCAACCTTGAATTAATAAAGATCAAATATTATATTGGAAATACTCCCAGGATACCTCTAGAACTACTTACCTTCAAGCCTTAAACCGATGCATAATTAAGCAAACTTAGATCTAGCCTCAAAATACTAACTTGTAACATTGATTTAAAAAAGAAAATAAAAAATAAAAAATAAAAAATAAAAAATAAAAAAAATTAAGACTACTTTACATACCATTAGCAAATCAAATATTTCTATCTTATCATCAAATTCCCATAAAAAACAGCAAAAATCTTTTCTTTAATAGCCATATTCCTTTAATGTAAGAGGCACTGAAGAAAATTAGACAAGTAGGCTCAAATTATTATCTTAATAACAATATATTTCTACTGTAGTGTGATACATAATTTAAAACAAAAAAAAACCCCAAATGCAAGACCCAAACCAAATTATAGCAGTCTTTACACATTTCACATTGTGAAAATTTAGCCATTAAAAAAATAATTGATTTTTCATATAAAATGATGATGATGTATTGACTTTTGTAAACAGATAAGACGAACACTAAAAGATTGTCTAGCACAGGCTTTCACTGTGCATCATGAGTCTGCTAACCTTTGCATTATTTACTTGAGATACAAAAACACAGTTTTAATCCTTTTTTGTTTGTTTGTTTGTTAGTTTGGGGTTTTTTGTCTAGCTGAATTACCTCTACAAAAAGCATTTCCTCCTCTCTGTTAATCTTCACATGTTGCAGTTGTCCATCAGCCATGCTTTTGATATTAATGCTGAAGACATCAGGATCTTGATGGCTATCTAGCTTGTACCTGATCTGCAAACTTCCTGCAGCAATAAATAGAGCAAAAGATATAGCACAATGCATACACAACAGCCAGTGTAGATCATGTACAATGCCTCCTGCTTCACAGGTGTATTTGGAGTGCAAAAGAAGTACTTGATTATTTAAGGAATTATCTGCAACATCTTGGCATAAGTGAGAAATGAAAGAAGGCAACAATAAAAGTATTAGCAATGTTGGAAGCAGGATGTAGTGCCAAAGATAGCCATAAACTCTCACAAAACCTGAATAATGAGCTAAAATTTGTGTTCAAATTCTAGTAATTACTTTTATAATTCAGTTGAGAAAGGCTTGGTCTGGCAGCTCATATCAATTTGACTTATCAAATAAAAACTAGTACCCTACAAGTACTCTTCTTGAATAATGCTTACACTGTACAGGTCTGTAAGCCTCTGACCAGTTGACAATTCAGTAGGATGCAGTTAATAATTTCTAGCTCACTTTCCATTTCTTGTTGTTAACTCCCAGCATACTGCTTGTATGCATATAATCACACAGAGACTCTTTCACAGCAGAACACAGAGGCAGTATGCTCTCCTTGTTAGAAATTCCCTGCCAGCTGTAGATGCAATACAAATTTCTAGTCATCCTTTGGAAAGCAAGGCCTAAGCCAGACCCAAGCCAGTCATGAGTAAAATGTGTTCCACCTCATGTGATGGGGAGGATACTACAGTTATTCTACACTCAAATCTGCATCCAGGAAAGTACAGAACCTTCTCTGAGCACAGAATCACTGTGACTGTAAAGAGCCTTTGATAAACCTAAAGATTCAACGCAATCTGTGGGGTTTTTAATTAAAAAAAAAAAGTAAAAAAAAAAAAATAGACTTAGAAGAAACAAAAAGAAACATCAAACTAACATTTAGTATTCAGCTTAAATGGAAATATCAATTACATTACGTCTATTTCCACAAGTATATATATATTTTCATAGGTATATAAGTAGCTTATGAAATTAGTTGAAAGAAATGACTTCTGATTAATTTGGAAAATGGATAATACACTTTCCAAAAGAAGCTGATTTTGTTATTCATCATGAGAATGACAATTAATATGCCGTGTAAGTAGCAGATGGATCTGATACATTTTGAGTTTCATTTAAAACCTTAAAAAAATTAATTTTAAATATTTTACTGCATTTCTAAAGGATTTGGCAAAAAAACAAACAAAGCCCCACCACCACCAACAACCAAAAAAAAAACCCCAACAAACCCCCAAAACCAAAACAATAGTAAAAATTACAGTAGGAGGAATGTTTTCCATGAAGAAAGCATTGCTTGGTGCAGCTGAAAGATAATTATACCATTTAAAGCAACAGCAGGACAATGCTTGGTTTGTGATTCAAGTCTCGGAATCAGAGTGAATCCGAGTTGGCAGCTATGACCTTCATTACCGTTTCCAGGGGGCCTATCTGAACACTCACCGTTTCTGGTGAGAATGACTGAGAGATATTCTTTGTAGAAGGAGTTGACATAAAGCAGTAAGCTTGGTGTCCGTGTTGTTCGGAAAGCAAATATAATTGTTTCCCTATTCAGAGTCATGTCAGCATAGAAAGAAGAAGCAGGAGAACTGGAATTTTTAGCTAAGGTGTAGTATTCTTGAAAATTGTATGTCACAGAAGTGCCAGTCCCAAAATAGGCAGAGATCTCTGAAACAAAAAGTAATTCAGTTTTTAAGTATCATGCAAAACAAGATTAAAGCTCATTTTTTTTTCCTGCTACAGGACAAAATAAAATGTATTCTTAACTATTGTGATAAAGCTGAAAAAAAGATATAAATGCAAACAGTATTTAGAACTATAAAGAGAAATAGGGCTCAACCAGGGCCATAGCAAAAGCCCAGTTAGGCATCTGTGAGGGAACAGATATCTTAAATATCTGTTCCATGAAAAAGTGCTTCTTTTTATCTAGTTTTGAAAATGCTTTCTGCTTTTTTCCTGTTTATCTACGTCCTCAAGCCCAATATGTTCTGTCTTGTATGTATACTACTCCTACAGAGAAATGCATGCAGCAGTTTGAATCCTAACATGCTGGTTAAACTTGGTTACAACTGAGACACATATGTGGAAAAAGAGACTGGTCAGAAGGAAGAAAGACAAGGAGAATACAAACTAGTCTTCTTATGGATGCCTCACTCAGAGGGCTTCTGTATCTCCGTGATATCTCACAATCATTTTCTGCTAATAGTAACTGCCTTAGACTATCCTGTTTTCACACACAATCTCCACACTTCAGAAAAAATCTCTGGAAATTTCTATGGTCTGTCTAGTGTCTTTGACAGAGGCTGACTGTAAGTTATTATTATAGGTCAACTCACACTTTCAGCAACAGGAGCTACTCTGTCGCTGACGAATAATAAGAGGCACATGAAGTTATGGCATTTAAGCCACTGAGTAGTTTTCAGAATGTATTTAATACATGGATGAAGGAAGTAATTTTTAGCAGATCAGAATCATATGAAAATACCGAAAGTTCTAGATAAACTTCCATTCTTAAAATTTAAACTTGATGCCTTGTGATCATCTACCAGTAAGACACCATCACTAAAGAACTCCTTTAAAATGGCTGAAAACATGGGCTCAGTCCAATGATCTTCCTTTCTTCTCACAGTAAAAAGAAGTTTAAGATTCTTCTGCTGCTTGGTTTGTTTTCCAGTTTTAGTCTTAGTTTTGAGATTAAGATTCGGAAAAAAGAAATTGAAAAGTTTATTCATAACAATTTAGTTCCTAGCTTTAGTATAATGCAAAAGAATCAAAGGAGTTGCATGACTTTAAAGATGTTGATCCTCTTAGGTAATGTGGTTTCTGCTTCAAACAGCATATATTGAACATATCTATGGAAGACAATGTTTAAGATAACTTACACTTACTGAACAAATTCAGCTGAATATTTTTTTACGTTAAGTAAAACAAATATATTGCAAGCATTTACACATATCTTTAAAGAGCTGTAAAGATTTTGTTCTGCACTGTATGGTCCTGTTTTCAATAACTGATAAAGCTAAAAGACATGCTTGCCTTTCTTACAGAATGGCCCAGCATAGGCAGAGAAAGTGCAGTCACAGGAGAAGCCACTGTATTTCTCTCTACATTTTCCACCATTGTGGCACAGGTTTCCATAGCTGCTACAGTGTCCAGGACAGCCTGATTCAACTCCTGGTGTTATCTTTGCTCTCTCTTCCAGATCAAGGGCCATTCCATTCAATTGTAACGAACGAATGCATCCCAAAAATCCTTTTTGCCTGGATGCTGTCCCACCTGAAATAAATTCATATGAGCTTTTAATTTTTTTTTAAAGGTGTGTAAAAACCTCTTTATGTTTTACATCCCCTGAATAGTCTACTATGAATTTCCAAGATACAAACCTATGCATGTGAAAATAGGGGAAGTTTGATCCTCCTCACAACAGAGGAATATCAATCAGGATATACCTGACTACCAAATATATATGGTAAAGATACAAAGCAATCCTTAGGCTAACAATTGTTGCCTCACGTGTTTTCACTGTTGAATTTTAGCACACTTCCTGACAGCTAGCATTTTATTCATCTTGATTGCCTAGAAGGGATCTTGATTGCCTAGACGGGTGTTCAATCTACATACCATTTCTCTTGTACATTGTTACACAGCTTACTCTTGTATTTCCTGTCATTTTTTCTCTTTCAAAAAGTAAAAGCAGAAAATACTCCACAATATGTAAGATTATTAATTATAATTCTCATGGATTTTCAATTAAATTTTGGTTATATTTTTCCATATGATCATCTATTTTCATCCTTTTCTAATGCAAAGTTCGTAAAATTCTCGGTGTTACATGGAAAATCTTGGCATAACTGTTGTTATCTACAGACATAATGGCACAAAATCACCTAAAAATAAGGAGATTTTATATGATCTCTGCTAAAATGAGCATTTTGATGGCAGCTCTAGGCTTTAGTTCTTCCAGCTTCTTTGGAAAACAAGAGTATATCTGTCTAACAAGTAAAGAAAGAGTGTTTTAGCCTTAAGAAATCATGGTCCTAGTGTATAAGTAATGACTGAAGGGTGACTATGGCAGGTGCTAGGTATATGAGATGATATTTAAGTAAAGATTACCTCTGCTAATGTCATTCTTAGGACACTATATGTTTCAGTTTTCTCTAGATCCTTTCACTGGTTTCAGCAGACAAGCCTGTGTCTGTACCAGTGGACTGCCAGTGGAAGTAGTTGAACAGTAAGTCTTTTTACTCCCTTCACTGAAGCAAATGATATTTAATTGAAGAGATGAAAATATCTTATAAATAGTTGGGATTTATAAAAAGTTGCATTATCCAAATGACTGTTTCAACTCAAGAACAAAGTAAACTAGACATCATGTTGATCCACATGACAGTATTGCAGTTGCAAAAACAGATGACCCTAAAAGGCTTGCTGCAGTCATAGCAAACCCTCACACATTATATTCACGAAATGCATGACACAAATGATTAAAACAAATCACTATAATTTGTCATGTCACACTTCAAAAACACTGTTTTGACTGAATAAAATTAAACAAGTGTCATTTTTATAATTTCTGCTAAAAAATATTTCAAAATAATTGTACAAATTTGTAATGAGTTTCAAGGTACACAGTACTATAATGAATGTTATTCCATTTTACTCCCAAGATCTTCAAGAATTTTCAGAGGGGAAAGAAATCCACAACACCAGAAGTGAACCAACAGAATAGCTCTTCTAATACAATTATTCACCTGCACATTATCTGAAGAAAACAAGTGAAACAGCTTGCTTGCAGATAAGTCAAAAAAGCTTTTGAATTGTCACCTCTATACAGGAGATGAATGTAAATAAATATACTAGAATTTGTCAAATTATTTGACAAAACAAAAAAAAAAAAAAATCACTCTATTCAATGGCCAATTTCTTCATTAAAAATTGCCAGAGACTGCAACTGTTGATACAGGTTAGTAGAGTATTAAATTGTTTGGGAGAATAGCCAGAAGAACTAGAGATCAATTAATTGTTAAAATAATTAGAAAACAGTTTAGTCTTGATATTACCATAAACACCTGTAGAAGCAGACCATTTCTTAATCTTGCTTCACAGATCACACCTTGCAAATTCAAACTGATCTACTTTCAACTGTTCATATAATTGCAGTTATATGGCAAGTCAAGTCAGATGACAGCAATATAGTTTGTTGTAGTACAGTAAACAAAAATCTCCTAGTCCTTTCACTAATAGTTCTAGTCCATTACTGTGAATAGAAATTAATTTTAAGACTTCTCCTAACACCACTATAGCTAATATCTTGGCTATTATCATTGGTATAGAATCTTCCCACCTTCTTTTAATGAAGATAGAAAATTCTTTAAAGTTTGGTATAGTATCCATCTTCTACCCTTGATGCCTTTTGAGGCACAGTACAGAATTCCATTCCAGAATACAAGAGTTCCCTCTCCATTTAATTTTTTTCCTAAGGATTCAAAATTTCTGTAGCTATTGCTTCATAACACTATTCCCCTCTTTCCCTGCATACAGCAAATAAAATTTATATTCATTTAGTACAATGTGTCTCACAGCAGAACTAGACAAAGATCTGTGCAACAGTGAGGTAGCATTTACATACTCTTATACTGTATACTATACACATACACCACAAACTTATAAATTAATAATATGGCAATATTACAGTAAGAACACTACCATGGGCATAACACATACCTCTACATAGCTCTATGTAATAGATAAAGAAATATTAATTAATTTTTTGTTTTGCCATTTCTGCTTTTCCAGTATTCTATCTAAATACATTAATGCCACATTTGCTAAAGTACAAAGGAAGAAATATTCAGGTAAACTTCTACCTTTGAAGTTTTCACAGTTTAGACAGAACCAACCATTGAACTGTTTTTTCACACTTTGTGTGAATTCAAAGAATAGTGCCTTTCTCTTGTTTCCCATACTAATTAAACACAGTCTGATTATTTCATTAAATGTATCAGATAGTGGTAGAAGAGTAGATCACAGAATCATAGAATCACAGAATGGTTTGAGTTGGAAGAGCTCTTTAAAGATCAGTTAGTCCAACGCCCCTGCCATAGGCAGGGACATCTTCCACCAGATCAGATTGCTCAAAGCCTTGTCCAACCTAACATCAAACACTTCAAATGATAGGACATTCACAAGTTTTCTGGGCAACCTGAGAAGCTGTGGATGAAGAGAGACAACAGAATCTCCTGGAAATTACAGAAGGAACACATCTTCCTTTCACAGATTACATCCTCTCAAAATTTATTGCAAACAGAGTTCCTTTAGTTCTTCAAACAAACTTCAAAATAAGAAAAGTTTGGTTGAAAGCCTATAGTAGTAGCTACAGGCTAAGGCACTGAATTTGTAACCTCAAAGTAGAGCTACATCTCCACGGATATTTCACAAAGACTCTCATCTCATCATAAAAACTGTTTTCAAAAGACCCAGTTGCCATCTTTTTTTTCTTTTCATATTTTCATGATGATAATTATGAAAGAGTCTGTTAAATGATTGCCTACCTACAAAAAGCTGGCTGTTGAGCTGCAAGCGAATATGCCCATCAGGTGGAGCAGCCTGAGACCTTTGAGGAAGCTGGTCTACTTGTAAGGATGCCTCTTTGATGTTTCGTTCAGCCTTCACATAATGCCACTGGTTATCATTTAGGGAAGTGGGTGATTGCACTGTAACTTCGCTAGGTCCATTTCCAACATCAAATGAAAAAATCACTTCAGATGGAGCTAGAAAGAGGACAGTAATAAAGGACATTTCAATTATTTCGTATTTAATTGGGCCACAAAATCATTAAGTGGCAGAAAAAGTTACTTTGTCTAGCCTACTATTTCATGTGATAAGATCACTTGTTCTAGGGGAAAAGTTTACTCCAGGAGGCCTATCCACAGAGCTCATTCTTCACATTCACTGACAGTGAGAACAATGATTTGTCAACAGAATGGAAATAAAACTGCTTGTGGACTCCTAAAGAGCACAGTAGTCAAGACACAGTGAAATATGCTAGCTTTGTTATTTTTCAGTTTGGCTAAAAAGCATCTCCTGCTTACATGGTAATTGATTACCATTTCTAATTATATTTAACTTATCACCACTACAATCCAATCACCATCTACTGTTTATTTTCTTTTGTTATTTATTCATACAATCTTTACAAATACCAGAGGCAAATTGCAATGTAGTTTATAAGATGAGTTAAACTGAGTAATTCCCTAAGCAAGTTTCCCACTACACAGTTTATAATTTGCTTAGAAAATCGTAACTGAATCTTTGCAGGTCAAAATAATAAAATGAGGAATATGCCAGAAATTGAAGCCCTAAAGATTACGAATAATGTCTCTGAAACTGTTTCTTTCATATATTCAAGGACAGTCATGTATGAAAATAAGTAATCCCTAAACAAGGGACTAACAGTATTTGGAATTATTAAGAATTTGATTAAAGGACTAGAGGTCTGAGAAGGTTCCATTAATCCAACAGAAAAGTTCTTATTTATGTCATCAGACTCTGAGAGAAAAGCAAAACAATTAGAAGTAATAAATAAATAAATAAAAATCAGCTTTAAACATTTTCAAAGATTAATTTACTGAATTAAAAAACTAATCATGGTTTAAATATACATTAAACTCTTTATAACATTTAGATCCACTTTGGCCAACCTTTAGACTGAGTAATGCCACATGCTTGCAATCCCTTAAGCCCTGAATCTAGCTGTTATAAAGTATTTTTTCTGTAACAGTTGAACCTGAGAGAGAAAAGTAAAATGGAAAATACACAAAGTATTTGACTTTCCAAATAAAATAAGTCATAATGTGCAGTAAATTTTTAAACAGAGCATCTTTTGTAATAAATTAGCTCTTCTGCTTTATTATTGTATAAAATCAACAAGTGTTTTATACAATAGTAAGAAATAACATGTCTAAAACTTGTTCCTCAGTAAAATGAATTTTAGGATAAATTTGTTTCATTTTTACAATGTTGAGTGCTCAGTTTCCCCTTACTGAAGGGTAAAACTAAAAAAAACCCCAACATAAAACAAAAAATAAACAAACAAAAAAAAAACAACCACACAGCAGGAGAACAAAAGCAACAGAAACTCCATGTGATCAGGCAAAGAGAATTTCTGCTGAATGTTACCTTCTGTAGGGAGGTCTTTGTAATCCTCTGGATACTGTTGGAGTGAAGCCTGAAATCACAAATTCTGCTTTGAACTCACTGAATGTGCCTATTAAATAGCATATCAGAATGATAGATCTGATAAGTAATGTTACTGTTTAGTTTTTAAAGGCAAGAAAACATATAATAAAGATTTTTTAATAATGCCTGAAATAATGAATTATGTTAGTACTACTAAAAAAAATAAAATTGAAAGAAGGAAACCAATCCCAGACATTGCAGAGATGAAGGCCCAGATAACAAGGATGACTGTGCAGTCATTGGTTGGATTTTCTGAAGACTGACTAGAATATGTTAGAAAAAGGTAAAAAATATAATCAGTTAACATTCTATCATATTTAGAAATATTCTACTAAAACTAGCTAGACTGCAAATTTGGAAGAAATTTGGCATTTAAAAGCACAGCAGCCAAACTTCCACCTGTGGAAGTTATGTCACAGAACATGGACAGATGCTGACTGAGTTCTAAAATTTGTCCTTTTGAGACAAAGGACCGAGGCAAACAGAAATTAGGTCATTTCCTGGGCAGCAGGGGAGGGTACGTCCACGAGGTTTTTTTGGTGCAAAAATACGTTATGGGCCCTACCTGCCTCA